GCAGCTGCTGGCGTCACCTTGGGTCAGTCACAGTTCTCTCAGAGCTGTTCTCTCAAGAGCAGTTCTCGAGTGAGCTCTCTCAGCCCCGCCTACCTCACAGGGTGTCTGTTGCAGGGAGGGGAAGGGAAAGAAGATTGTAAGCAACTCCAAGTCTGCCTCGGGAGGTGGTGGATGCTCCTTCGCTGGACGTTTTCAAGCGGAGGCTGGACGACCATCTTTCGGGTATGTTGTAGGGCTATCTTTCGGCTATGCTCCTGCAGAGTGCAGGGGGTTGGACTAGATGACCTGCAAGGTCCCTTCCAACTCTAACATTCGATGATTCTATGACTCCTTCAGGTAGTGAAGGGCGGGGTATAAATCCAACCTCTTCTTCTCCAATATGGGGCCCATGGGGGCCCCCCTGACACCTTTCCTGGCACTCACCGAGTGTTTTTAGAAAGTGGGTGGGGCCAGGGGAGGCTTTGGCCTGGGGAGGCTTCTGATTGGCCACTGGAGACTTGATTGGCTGTGGGGATTTTTGAAAAACGTTGCTCTGGCAGCAGCTGCCTCCACAGCACAAGACGCTTCACTGGGGGACCAAAGGGAAGCAGCGGCAGCCATTTTGTAGCTAACTCCATCTCCTACAGCAGCCATTTTGTAACTAACTCCATCTCCTACAGCAGCCATTTTGTAGCCAACTCCATCTCCTACGGCAGCCATTTTGTAGCTAACTCCATCTCCTACGGCAGCCATTTTGTAGCTGCATCCACCGCACTGTGTCAGAATTCCAAAGGTGCCCACAGGATGAAAAGGGTTGAAGGGTAGCTGACTCCATCTCCTACGGCAGCCATTTTGTGGCTGCATGTACCGCACTGTGTCAGAATTCCAAAGGTGCCCACAGGATGAAAAGGGTTGAAGGACCCCTGGTCTACCGAGTAACCAGGGATCAAGTCACTTACCTGAAGACCGGGAGTTGCTTCAGGGCTTCCACCAGCTCCCCCGGTGTCCTGTGGATGCAACCGACAGCGTCAGAAGGTGCTTGTTTGGTAACAGCCAGGCCTAACCCCTCCCGGGCTCCCAGACACGTTACGCTAGCCCCCCCAGTCTCTTGTGATCACAAAATGATGTCCTACTCACCAGCTGCTGAGCAGGTGCTATAGATACTTGCCCTTCACTCTTTCTAGGGCAGTGGTCCCAAACAGTGTTTCCTCTAAGCTGAGTTCATGTGAGCTAGTTCACCGTTTGTTAGCCTCCGGCTCACACATTTTTGTCTCCAGAGCAAACTAATTTATGCAGCAGCCAAATCCCTCGCTCACTACTTTAACGCCAGTAGCTCACCAAGGAGAATTTTTGCTCACAAGACTCCACAGCTTAGAGGGCGCATTGGTCCCAAAGGTACCTGAGGGGTCTGGGTCACATGATCTCCCATGGCCTAGTTTCGGTGAGCTTAAGTCCATTTATTCTTTGTCATCGGGACTGATGGTCCCTGTAAGCTGTGGGGTCTTGTGAGCAACAATTCTGCTTTGTGAGCTACGAGCATTAAATAAAGTTGTGAGCAGGTGAGTTGGCCGCTGCATCAATTAGTTTGCTCTGGAGCCATCCTTCCGGAGCCAAGACAAAAATGTGTGAGTCAGAGGATAAAAAACTGTGAGCTCGCTCACACTAACTCAGCTTAGAGGGAACACATAAACAGACTAACAGGCCTACCCATCTTGATCTAATCCTGCTGAGAGTTTGCAAGGTGGAAAGAGAACTGAGTGACCCCAGTAGGCTACAATGCCGTACAGCCCACCTTCCAAAGCAACCATTTTCCCCCAGAACAACTGATCTCTGTCGCCTGGTGATCAGTTGAAATGCCAGGAGATAACCAGGCCCTATCTGGAGATTGCAAAACAAAGGGAGAGATCGCGGGATGGAAGTTGAGAAGAAGCAAACAACCGTGATATATTATGCCAAAAAAAATATCTCCAAAGACTATATATTTCTTTTCCTAATATTCAGTTTACTGGAAGCAATTCAAACGCCATCAGCACCAACAAACCATGCATGTTATATCTCATTTCATATAACTTTATCAAAGTTGATAGCATTGAAATACCTATATAATATTAATCCATTTGGCAAACACTCTAGTCATATCCCATAGTAACACTCATCAGGTCCATTAGTGTGAGTGTTACTATGGGGTATGATTAGAGTGTTTGCCAAATGGATTGATATTACATAGGTATTTCAACGCTACCCGCTTTGATAAAGTCCTACCTGGAGACTGGCATTCCTAAAATAAAATAGGACCGGGGGGTGGGGGGATCCTGTTCAGGAGCGATTATATTCTTATTAGTCATTCCACGTTAATTGTTTCTGCAGGAAGGCCCTCATTTTAAAATGCCAGTGAACTGAGAAAGCCTCGGGAAAAGAAGAAGAGAAAAAGAGATTGGATTTATACCCCGCCCTTCACTACCCAAAGGTGTCTCAGAGCGGCTCACAAACTCCTTTCCCTTCCCCTCCCCACCACAGACACCCTGTGAGGTAAAAGAAGAAGAGGAGATTGGATTTATACCCCGCCCTTCACTCCCCAGAGGAGTCTCAGAGCGGCTCACAAACTCCTTTCCCTTCCCCTCCCCACCGCAGACACCCTGTGA